GTACACATATCAGTTGTTGTAACGTTGTAAGGTTGTATCGACGTCTGAATTTGTGCTCAATTCCAAAAGACAGAATTTCGGAAATTATCAGCTAAGACCAGTATGGTTCAAGAATTTGCACCTGGATTTTCCAATCTTAATGGAAATGTTATGTCATTGAGTAATCTTCCTACAATAATTGCCTCCAAACTTTGCAAATAAATGGTGAAAAAAAAGTCGTAATTAACTGTGACCCCCTCATTCTGCATGGCTGAGGTACCTGGCTGTCAGCAGATCTATTTCAACGACAATGGCCTGCTTTCGCTCGTCTCCTTCTGTAGCTCACTAGAAATGCACCTCCGATTCCTGCTCATGTCTGGTTGCACATGAGCAGCAACCTTCATTAGCATCTCTACAAGGAAAAAGGCTATTCAGGTTCTTTCATAAGAGTCTCCCCAACGCTTGCCATCTCTTTTCGTTGTAATTTTCATCATCAATTACGTCGGTGCTTTCACCTCAGAACTCCAGAACAAGCTTGTGCCATTGCAGCAATACGCTGTTCAGAGAGGACATGCACATGTACTACTGCTTACTTCAGACTCGGTAAATATCTCAGTGACAATAGATCACACCCAGCCTCTTACCTACAATCACCACTTGAGTTTAGTTTAATTAATCTTAATTAATTAAAATGAGCTTAATCACAAAGGAGACCAAAAGACAATAATTACAAAGAATATCACTTGATAACTAGAAGGTTGAGCGTAAAGCCTGAGACACAGGCAGACCTGGTGCTATATATCTCTATGCTATAACGTGAACTATTTTTAGTCTATCGTAATTGAAAAATAACCCCATCACACAATGCTAACGCTACAGAAACTAAAAAAAAAAAAAACAAAAATCAAAAAACGAATCTCTCCTGATATCTAATATGTAATGATAAATATTCTCGTAAGTTATTCTGCTTGTAAACATTCTAAAAAAAAAAGGTTTTCATCCATGTTTCTCTGTTTGTCCATGCAGCACTATCAGTAAAGAAGTGAATCGAAGGCGTGAAGTAGCTCAAGTCAACACTGGTACTTAGATGAAGCTAGGATTGTGAATCAGTGCTTCTGAATAATATGGCTGACCGTCAGCTGTTCCTGTGAGGTATTCATTACTAAGAGTCAGAGGAAGAATTTGAGAATTGCTGTGTCTTACGCCCCGTATCATATTTGTAAGAAAATGTTCAATATATAAAACCTACGCTATTGCAGCTTGAATCATCGTAAACTGAGGCAAACTTACAAAGTCAGCTACTTATGATAATAGCAAATGCACATATTAACAGTAAAAGAAAAAATTACTTTAAATCATTAGGAAATAAAATATATACACAAGATATGATAATTACACAGACATTCCATAAATTTCACATTGAAAACAAAGTTGGCAATCGCCATGGTAACACCTCTCTCTCTCTCTCTCTCCTTCTTCATCTCCTCCCCTCTCTCTCTCTTCTCTCTCTCTCTCTGTCTCTTTCTCTCTCTCTCTCTCTCTCTCTCTCTCTCTCTGCCTCTCCTCTCTCTCTCTTTCTCTCTCCTCTCCTCTCTCTCTCTCTCTCTCCCTCTCTCAATGTCTCCTATCCTATGCGTAAACCGTCACATATATGTCTATCCATATATCTATCCATCGATTTATCTATTAATCTATCCCTCCATCTATCTATCCATCTATAAATTTATGTCTATAAATCAATCTCTATGTAGCTTTCAATCTACCAGTCAATCAAATCAATCAATGTCTATCTACCTATATAAACCGACCTATCCTCCACACCCTCCACAGACACACACACACACACACACACACACACACACACAACTCTCTCAGTCCCACGCCCACAATCCCCAGCAGATGCAGCCATGGCGACGCCCACTCCATGTCATAAAGAGCGCCAGAGCAAGAATGGGAAAAGAGAGAGCAGAGCCGAACCGCTCCCATGAACATACATTATTCCCGGGTTCCATGTTGCTGGTGTCTATGGTTCTGTAGATGCCGATGGGGATCTCGCAGGTGGTGGAGCAGAGCTTCTGGTACAGGCGGCCGTACGTTCGGATCCACAGGTCCTGCTTGCCGATCTTCATCTGCAAAGGCCGCGCGAAGGAGCCGTCAGGTCGTTTGTGTGTATCATGGGTGTGTTTGTGTGTTGTTTGTTTGTTTGTTGTGTGTGTGTGTGTGTGTGTGTGTGTGTGTGTGTGTGTGTGTGTGTGTGTGTGTGTGTGTGTGTGTGTGTGTGTGTGTGTGTGTGTGTGTGTGTGTGTGTGTGTGTGTGTGTGTGTGTGTGTGTGTGTGTGCGCGTTAGCACTATGTGTATGATTTGATTGTGTAATGATATTATTTTCATAACATCGAAATGAATTTCATTTAGTGATTGAATAACACTAAATATCACAGAAACCATAAAGACAAACCTATCACACAGAAAACATAATAAGATAAAACAATAAAACGAGACAAACTATAAATAAAAACAGAG